TTGGGAAGCCAATGCAGGAGAATTGTTTGAAGTCAGTTTGATACCAGCCTGGGCAACAAAGTAAGATCTCATCTCTACAACAACAATAAAAATAGCTGAGTGTCTCTATTAAAATATAGATAGGTAGATAGATAGAATAAAATAAAATAAAATAAAAATAAAATCATTCTGCAAACTGAGTTCATCGTATTACTTTACTCTGTATGATTCTTTGAAAACTCTGCACCTGGCCGGGCGTGGTGGCTCAGTCCTGTAATCCCAGCACTTTGGGAAGCCGAGGCTGGTGGATCACGGGGTCAGGAGATCGAGACCATCCTGGCTAACACAGTGAAACCTCGTCTCTACTAAAAATACACACACAAAAAAATTAGCTGGGCATGGTGGCGGGCACCTGTAGTCCCAGCTACTCGGGAGGCTGATGCAGGAGAATGGAGTGAATCCAGGAGGTGGAGCTTGCAGTGAGCCGAGATCGTGCCACTTCACTCCAGCCTGGGCGACAGAGTGAGACTCTATCTCAAAAAAAAAAAAAAAAAAAAAAAAAAAAAAAACCCTGCACGTGTCAAACCTCCGCAAAAGTACAACTGCTAACCAATAATGTGGGTGCAGCACTTTGATATGACAGCGAACACCTATGAGACTGATACAATGAAAGGCTGACTTAACCCAACAGCTACTCCTTCCAAATTTCCTTCCAGCTGCTCAAATGTGGCTCAAATGGTTTTGACACTGACTTAAAATTGCTGGCCATTCTCCCAACATGGCACCAAATCAACCTGGACAAGAAGGGACAATCAAAACCTACACCTAGGATCAGATTTGGACCGAAGGAAACAAGATCGAAATCTCTAACAGGAAATTAAAAAAAAAAAAAAAAAAAAATAGGGGGGGGGGGGGAAGAGGGGGGGGGGGGGGGGGGGGGGGAGTGACTAGATGCATGCCTCAAAAAAAAAAAAAAAAAAAACAAAACAAACAAACAAACAAAAAAAAACCTACACAGGATGATTGATCAGTGATGTCTTCAGAAAAAAAATTTTTTTTTTGAGACTGAGTCTCTCTTGGTCACCCAGGCTGGAGTGCAATGGCACAATCTTGGCTCACTGCAACCTCCGCTTCCCAGGTTCAAGTGATTCCCCTGCCTCAGTTTCCCAAGTAGCTGCATTACAGATGGTTGCCACCACGCCCAGTTAATTTATGTATTTTTAGTAGAGACGGGGTTTCACCATGTTGGCCAGGCTGGTCTCCAACTCCTGACCTCAGGTGATCCGCCCACCTCAGCCTCCCAAAGTGCCGGGATTACAGGCGGGAGCCACCGCACCTGGCCTCAGAGAAAGATCTTCATCAAAAGGAGGAAATATAAAAATTGCAATAACCCCTTCCTTCTTTAACTAGGTGTCTGAGGAGTTTTGTCTGCGGCTCGTCCTGCTACAGTTTGTAACTTCAGATTATTTCTGACAAGTTTTGATCCACGGTTTTTTAAAAAAGATTTGTCAATTTCAGGCTGGGCGTGGTGGCTCAAGCTTGTAATCCCAGCACTTTGGGAGGCCGAGATGGGCAGATCACGAGGTCAGGAGATCGAGACCATCCTGGCTAACACAGTGAAACCCCATCTCTACTAAAAAATACAAAAAAACTAGCCGGGCGTGGTGGCAGGCACCTGTAGTCCCAGCTACTGGGGAGGCTGAGGCAGGAGAATGGCGTGAACCCGGGAGGCGGAGCTTGCAGTGAGCCGAGATCCCGCCACTGCACTCCAGCCTGGGGGACAGAGTGAGACTCCATCTCAAAAAAAAAAAAAGGTTTGTCAATTTCAAAATATGTGTTTGGTCCTGCTTCCTGTTCTTTCTTTCTTTTTTTTTTTTGAAACAAGGTCTCACTCTGTCACCCAGGCCAGAGTCTAGTGGTGGGATCGCAGATCACTGCAGGATCCAACTCCCAGACTCAACAGATCCTCCCACCTCAGCCACCGACCCCATAGCTGGGACTACAGGTGTATATCATCTCACTTAGCTAATTTTTAAAGTTTTTTTTTTGTTGAAATGGGTCTCACTGAGGCCTCACTGGGCCTCAGCCCAGGCTGAGTCTTCTTCCTCCACTTCCTTTTTTTTTCTGAGACAGTGTCTCACTCTGTCACCCAGGCTGGAGTGCAGTGGTGCCATAGTGGCTCACTGCAAGCTCCACCTCCCTGGTTAACGCCATTCTCCTGCCTCAGCCTCCCGAGTGGCTGGGACTACAGGCGCCCGCCACTACGCCCGGCTAATTTTTTGTATTTTTAGTAGAGACGAGGTGTCACCTTGTTCACCAGGATGATCTCGATCTCCTGACCTCGTGATCCGCCCGCCTCGGCCTCCCAAAGTGCTGGGATTACAGGCGTAAGCCACCGCGCCCGGCCCTCTTCCTTTTTTTTTTTTTTTTTACGTTTTGTTTGCCTAGAATTGTATTTGATTGTAATCAAATCATGTGTCATATCTGTTTTTCAATTTGTATGATTATTTTGTGGCCCAATACATGATTGTTTTTTGCGAATATTTCATGGGCTTAAATAGACAAGAAATTCTCTCTCTACACATAATTAAATGGAGTGTGTGCTTTGCATTATTCAATTCCTTTATTCCCATCCTTGCTTTTGTCTGCAGATTTGCCTAGTTCTAGAATGGGTATACTGAAGCTTGGGTAAGGGTGAGGCCAGCGTTCTAGGGGGCTCAGCCTACTGTCCCACCCGTGCCACAGAATCCACGGAGAGGCCCAGCGGCCGCACTGGGTGGGGGCGAGGGGGGAGGCGGAGCCAGGTTGGGGTGGGTAGGCAGTCAGTGCGGTTGCCAGGAAGCGGGAAAGGGCCACAATGGGGTCTGGGAGGTGGGCGGGGCGGAGCGGGGGTGTCCAGCCACGTCGCTTTGTTTCCCATAACAGGAGCCACCACTACAGGTCAGTGCACCTCGGGGCCTCCCCTCGGGGCACCGGGTCCCCCACACCAGGCCCTCCCCGGGGCACCCTTTCCCAACACTACGAAAATCTCCTGCCCCCACCCCGCCCCCAGGTGATTCCCTTCACCAAGTCTGGGTCTAAACTTGGCCCCCGCGAGCTCACGTCCCTACCTAACCCGCCTGGAGTCCGGGTGATAGTCCTGGACCCGCTGCCGGCCCCACGCCACACACAGCGGGGCAGGAAGCTCGCGTTTGTTTTGCTGGCGCCAGGGATACGGACCAGGCCCCGCCCCACCGCGCGCTAATCCCAGGGTAGTGGGAAAGTGCGCTCCCCAAGAATTTGGGGTGGAGGGGCCGCGGCCACCGCCTTCTGTCCGCAGGTGCTGCGAGCCGTAAGCGCCCCCCACCCGCGCTATGGGCTCGGACGCCTGGGTGGGCGTTTGGCGGCCACACCGGCCCCGCGGCCCCATCGCAGCGCACTACGGAGGCCCTGGGCCCAAATACAAGCTGCCGCCCAACACCGGTAGCAGGGGCGGGCCCCGGGATTGAGGGGTGGGACGGTGCCTGGGGGAGGGAAGGGGAAGAGACCAGGGAGGTCTGCGCTCCGGGCTGAACCGAGCCTGCTAGAGGGGAGAGGGGGTCTGTGCCGGGGGAGGGTCCGTGTTCCAGACGGGGGTGGGGGCTGGGCCCGGCCAGGCGCTGACTCGGATGCTCCCAGGCTACGTCCTGCATGACCCGTCGCGGCCCCGCGCCCCCGCCTTCACCTTCGGCGCGCGCCTCCCCACGCAGCAGACGACGTGCGGCCCCGGGCCCGGCCACCTGGTGCCCGCCCGCATGACCGTGCGCGGCCCCGACGGCGCCCCCGCCTACTCCATCTACGGCCGGCCGCGCCGCTCAGCGCCCTTCCTCACTCCCGGACCTGGTCAGGACCCCCGGGACCCTGGCCACCCAACGCCGAACTGCCTCCAGGGAGGCCCACCTGGGAACCCCCCACCTGAACCCCGAGTCCCACTCAGATACCCCAACACCGCATAGTCGGAACCTTCATATCCGGGTCTCAAATCCCAAACCCCGAACCCCACGGGGCTTTGACAAATCGTGGCTCAGATTACCCCCTAGTCCCAGGACCCCATCTCGGGTACCCACCAGGCCCCCCCCCAGTTCCAGACCCCCACACCCTTGATCCGCCCCGCAGGCAGGTACTTCCCGGAGCGAGCGGGGAACGCGACGTACCCCAGTGCGCCTCGGCACACCATTGCTCCCCGAAACTGGGGTGTCCAGGCGGAGCAGCAGAGCCCAGGTGAGGCCAGAAAGGCCCATCCCAGCACTGTGGGCCTTCCCACTCCAAACCGGGGACCGCCCTCCGGGAGCTGGGACCACCCTGCGCCTGTCCACGGAGACCCACTACCCCCGAGCCCTGCCTCCTCCCCAGGTCCCGGGGCCTATACTGTGCCCTCGCTCTTGGGTCCACGCGTCATCGGCAAAGTCTCCGCCCCAACTTACTCCATCTACGGCCGCAGAGCGGCGGGCAGTTTCTTCGAGGACCTCAGCAAGGTGGGGGAGGGACCGGGGCGGACGCAGGGGTCCCTGGTCCGCGGCAGCGGAGGCGGCAGCCAGCACCCTCTGCCCTCCCGCAGACCCCAGGCCCATGCGCCTACCACGTCGTGAGCCCGGGGGTCTACAAGTCCCGGGCCCCCCAGTTCACCATGCTGGCGCGGACTTCGCTCCCCCAAGACAACACTCAGAAGCCAGGGCCCGCGGCCTACAACGTGGATCAGGTGGCCTGGAGTCCAGGGTCAAGGGTCAGAGTCAGGGGAGTGGGGAGGGCCTGAGGTCGGAGTGATGGGATCAGGGTCCCCGGGGATCCAGGGGTCCCGGCGCGGAGGACGCCGGCCCCGCGAGGTCAGTGGTGTCTCCGGGCCCGCAGCACCGGAAGCCCCGCGGCTGGAGCTTCGGGATCCGACACTCGGACTACCTGGCCCCGCTGGTGACCCACGCGGACACCTGACCTGGCAGGCGGGAGCGGCCCCACACTTGTTTGCTTAAAGTCTGCGAGTCCGCATCGTGTCCGCCTCTCTCTCTCTCTGCGCGTCCTGGGGCAAGGCCAGGGGCGGAGCCGGGGCTGGGGCCGTGTCCCAACTCCGAACGCAGCGGGGCGGGGCCGGGACTCCAGCGCTGCGCCGCGTCCGAACGTCGAGACCCCACCGAGGGCGGGAGGGGGACTCTCGGGAGCCGCAGACGCCCGAGGCCCACGCCGCGCGGGACCGGCCAGTGGTCACTCCCGCCGACGGCCCCGGGCCCCGACGGCCCGGAAGTCCCGCGTGTCCGGGGGATCGGCAGGGGGGCGGCGCGCGAGGCTCCCCCGGGGCGGTGACTGCTGAGCCCCGCCCGCCAGGCGGCCCCACCCGCCTGCTGTCCTGGGGCGCCGCCGCCCCGCCGCCCGCAGTGGACCGCTGTGCGCGAACCCTACGGTCGCGACCCGAGGCCGAGGCCGGGTACCTGGGCTGGGATCCGGAGCAGGCGGGCGAGGGCAGCCGCCCTGAGCAGGTACGGGCGGGAAGCGGGAGCCAGATCCGGACAAGGGCGACACAGACACAGGACCGAGGGGCGGACGCCGGAGAGACACGGGAAAGGGGTCGGGACAAGAGCACGTGGCTCGGACACCGACGCCAGGAGGCCGCAGACCCCGGACGTGTCAGGCATCCCCGCGGGCCCCGAGCGATGGCGGCCTCGATGACGGTGGGAACCGGAGCCCCACCTGCGCCTGGTGACCTCTCCGGGGAAGGGAGCCAGGGACTTCTCGACCCCTCGCCAGAGCCCAAGCAGCTCCCGGAGCTGATCCGCATAAAGCGAGACGGAGGCCGCTTGAGCGAAGCGGACATCAGGGGCTTCGTGGCCGCTGTGGTGAACGGGAGTGCGCAGGGCGCACAGATCGGTGCGTGGGGAGGGTTGGGCGTTCCTGACCCCGACCGGGAGGTCAGCCCAAGAGACTATGGGTCCCTGGGGGTGCGACAGTGCCCTACTACCAGCACCGGCCCCAGGGTGCCCCACTGCTGTGGGCTGCCACCCTCACGGGTACCCCCACATACCAGGGGCCATGCTGATGGCGATCCGACTCCAGGGCATGGATCTGGAGGAGACCTCGGTGCTGACCCAGGCCCTGGCCCAGTCGGGGCAGCAGCTGGAGTGGCCAGAGGCCTGGCACCAGCAGCTTGTGGACAAGCATTCCACAGGGGGTGTAGGCGACAAGGTCAGCCTGGTCCTCGCACCTGCCCTGGCGGCGTGTGGCTGCAAGGTTAGAAACCACCTCCTTCCCAGATGGGAGCCTGTGACCCCACATGCAGCAACCAGGCCATCCACAGGCAGCTCCCAACCTCAGGCTTGGCCCAAAGCCCCCAAGACAGTACCCAGGTTTCTCCCCAGCACAGAGCTTGGGGCCCCTCCGGCTCCAGACCAGGCCCCCTGGAGCAGGAAAAAGATCCACTGATGGAATTCAGACCCCTTTCCCCTTGTTTCCCCTGGGGACGGGTACCAACCTTCTCCCCTACTGACACTTCTCAACCGAGAAAACTTCCTTTCCATTCCCTCACCAGCTGGGCGCCCCTATAGGTGCTTAAATACTTTCTAAATCCAGCTGAGGTCCTAGCCAGGGAAGGTGAAGGGATACATGGAGGTGGGGGGAGGGGTACTGTGCAGGGTACTCAGCATCCCTGACCACCAGGTGCCAATGATCAGCGGACGTGGTCTGGGGCACACAGGAGGCACCTTGGATAAGCTGGAGTCTATTCCTGGATTCAATGTCACCCAGAGCCCAGAGCAGGTATGGGGGTGGGGCATGGATCAGTCATTGATCCAGGTTGATGATGGAGACCCTGGCCAGAATCACTAAAGGATCACTGGTGGATCATTAGGGTCATTAATAAGGACACTGGTCAAGGTTACTCATGGGCCTGAGCCAAAATCATCAGTGGAACTTTGATCAGGATCATAAAACAGGGAGTTGATCAAAATTATAGATGGCTGGTGGGGCACGATGGCTCACACCTGTAGTCCCAGCAGTTGGGGAGGCTGAGGAGGGCAGATCCCTTGAACCCAGGCATTCAAAACCAGCCTGGATAACATGGCGAAACCCTGTCTCTACAAAATAAAAAAATTAGCCGCGTGTAGTGGTGCGCACCCGTGGTTCCAGCAACTCAGGAGGCTGAGGCAGGAGGATCACTTGAGTCTGGGAGGTCTAGGCTGCAGTGAGCCGTGATGATGCCACTGCACTCCAGCCTGGGCAACAGAGTGAGACCCTGTCCCAGCACTCTGGGAGGCAGAGAGAGGATCGCTTGGGCCCAGTTGGAGACCAGCCTGGGTAATATAGTGAAAACTTCATCTTTAAAAAAAAAAAGAAAAAGAAAAAAGAAAATAAAGCCCAATGTGGTGGTATGCACCTGCAGTCCCAGCTACTGGGAAGCTGAGGTGGGAGGATCACTCAAGCCCAGGAGGCAAAGGTCTCAATGAGCAGAAATTGTGCCAACTGCACTCCAGCCTGGGCAACAGAGCAACACTCTGTCTTAGGAAAAAAAAAAAAAAAAAGGCTCTGGGCCATTTGCCAGAAGTCACTGAGGATAGGGGATGTTTGACCAGATGCAAGCGCTGCTGGAGCAGGCGGGCTGCTGTATCGTTGGTCAGAGTGAGCAGCTGGTCCCTGCAGACGGAATCCTATATGCAGCCAGAGATGTGACAGCCACCGTGGACAGCCTGCCACTCATCACAGGTGACCTGACTCCATGGCCTGCTTCTGCATGTTACGGGCCCCTGACCTCCAAACTCAAGTCAGGGTCCTCTCGTTAGGAGTTATGTGTCACCTGACCGTGTGCCCCCCTACCCCCATCACAAGATGCCTGACCACCACGTGAGGTGGCCTGATACACAACCCACCAGGTGCTGCCACCCCCATAAGGGACTTGACCCTCAATGCTCAGGGCCCCTGACCCCAAAGTCGGCATCCCCCAAGTCTCCCAAGAAGCTCCAGGTTCTCCATTGTCTCCAACCTCCTCTGCCTCCAAAGCCTCCATCCTCAGTAAGAAGCTCGTGGAGGGGCTGTCTGCTCTGGTGATCGACGTTAAGTTCGGAGGGGCCGCCGTCTTCCCCAATCAGGAGCAGGCCCGGGAGCTGGCAAGGACGCTGGTGAGCGGTGTGGCCTCTTCCTGGGGAAGCGTCTTCATGCGGGCCCAGCCTACCCTTCACCCTTCTCGTCCCCACTGCCTCCCTCCACTCAGCAGTCCTGCCTAACCCCAGTCCCACCCTCTTCTGCCCGAAGTCCCTCCCTCCCTCACGGCCCCCCAACCTGCTGTGACTTTAAAGGTCAAGGCTGGCCCAGCCTGGGCCTGGGGAGGCCCTCTGTGGCGTCCCTCTCCTAGGCCAAGTACAAGTTCCTCCTGGCCCCGTGGCGAGGTGTGGCACTTCACTCGTTTCTGTTCCCCACCCCAACCCTTCCCTGACTTCATCCTGGCGGGCTGGCAACCCAGGGTGCAGCAGGGGCTGGAGTTGGACAAAGAATGGGCTGCAGGACGCCCCGCCATGTGGGGTCCGCGCTGAGCCTCGTCTCGGTAGGTTGGTGTGGGAGCCAGCCTAGGGCTTCGGGTCGCGGCAGCGCTGACCGCCATGGACAAGCCCCTGGGCCGCTGCGTGGGCAACGCCCTGGAGGTGGAGGAGGCGCTGCTCTGCATGGACGGCGCAGGCCCGCCAGACTTAAGGGACCTGGTCACCACGCTCGGTGAGGGGGACCGGGCGCAGGGGAGCGGCGGAGGGGGGGGTGCTTCCCGCCGGGGCCGCCCTGGCCGGGCCGCGCCTAAGCCCCGTCCCCGCCCGCAGGGGGCGCCCTGCTGTGGCTCAGCGGACACGCGGGGACTCAGGCCCAGGGCGCTGCCCGGGTGGCTGCGGCGCTGGACAACGGCTCGGCCCTTGGCCGCTTCGAGCGGATGCTGGCGGCGCAGGGCGTGGATCCCGGTCTGGCCCGAGCCCTGTGCTCCGGGAGCCCCGCAGAGCGCCGGCAGCTGCTGCCTCGCGCCCAGGAGCAGGAGGAGCTGCTGGCGCCCGCGGATGGTGAGCGTCGGGGGAGTCCTCGTCATCCCGCCTCCGCCATCCCCTTCCCTTCCCGAGCCCCCGCCCCTTCCCGAGCCCGCGCGTCCCAGCCCCTCTCCCCGCAGGCACCGTGGAGCTGGTCCGGGCGCTGCCGCTGGCGCTGGTGCTGCACGAGCTCGGGGCTGGGCGCAGCCGCGCTGGGGAGCCGCTCCGCCTGGGGGTGGGCGCCGAACTGCTGGTCGACGTGGGTCAGAGGCTGCGCCGTGGTGAGCGCCGCCCCCGCCCCGCTGCCCCCGCGCCCCCGCCCCGCCCCGGCCGCGCGGCCTCTGACAGCCCCTGGCTCCGCAGGGACACCCTGGCTCCGCGTGCACCGGGACGGCCCCGCGCTCAGCGGCCCGCAGCGCCGCGCCCTGCAGGAGGCACTCGTACTCTCGGACCGCGCGCCCTTCGCGCCCCCCTCGCCCTTCGCCGAGCTCGTTCTGCCGCCGCAGCAATAAAGCTCCTTTGCCGCGAAACTTTGTGGGTGCTTGGCTCGCCCGGGCGGGAGCGAAGGGATCGGGGCCGCGGGGGCGAGGCCGTCTCGGCGAACACGTGACCTGCGGTGGGCTCCGCCTTCCGCGCAAGCGCCGAGAGCGCGTCAGCGGCCGTGCCCGTCTGCGCATGGGCAGCTCCGGGGAACGCCTGCGCCCTGGCTGCGAGCTTGTGGCGCCCACGATACCTGAGCCCGCGAGGAGCCCGCGGGGCGGAGCGCAGGGAGCTGGAGGTCGCGCTGCCTCTCGGGGGACTGGTCCACTGACGCGCGGCCCCGCCGCGAGGTGCGGACGCCGGGGCCGGGAGGGAAGGAGGTAGCCCTGGGCACTCGCTGGACTCCAGGGTAGTTTCCCAGCTCCGACTACTGCGCGGGGCTGGCGGGGGGCACCCCGAGGGCGCGCTGGAGGGAGGAGCGAGGCTGGGGCGCCCGGGGGAGGCTCCCGGCTAGCACCGGTGTTCTCGGTGCGGCCGAGCACAGTTCTAACGCGCTCGCGCGGCTCTTTACGTGGTCCTGGGACCTTTCTGGCCACGAGGGCGTTGGCCTTGGTGGGGAGGGGACAAGCCCAGAACCGCCCGGGCGGAGGGTGCCCTCAGCAGGAGGGGGGGCAGTGACGAGGAGTCCTGAGACCTCCACCTAGCAAACCTTCCGGGGGGGCCCGTGGGAAAGGCGCAAAGGTCACCAACGCAAAGGCAGAGCGTCGGCTGTGAGCCCGGAGGAGCTGCTGGGAAGCCTGGATGTGAGGAGGGTGGGGTTTTGTGGCGGTGGAAGGAAAGGTTAAATACGGCAGGCAGGCAGAGTCCGAGCTCCGGGGGTAGGTCGTGCAGGTTTGCTGCTTGCAGTGTGGAGGAAGGGCCACGGTTGGCTTAAGTGGCCCGAGGTGACAGGAAAGTGCTGGAGGAATCGGTTACTCTAGGGACTGCAAGCCAGAGTTACCCACCTCCTTTTAAGAAATGGGTTTATTGCGAATAGATAACATGGTTAGGAGTCCAGGCAAGGCATGCACTTGGAATGCTTTCAGTCAGCAAGAGGGTCACCTTGCTGAGGTGCAAGGCAAGGTGTGGCGACAGGCTGGTGATCCCAGGTGGAGGACAGGAGTGACAGGTGTGGATGTTTGGTGGAGGTGTTCTGAGCTCAGGTGAGCAGTGACAAACGCCTGTTAAGCCTGAACGTGGGCTGGGTCCTTCGGATGGGTTGACTGGTCTCTCCAGTCGCAGGGGCAGCCCAGGCACCGTCCTGGGCCTTCCCTTCTGGCTCCTGACACCTGTGCTTGTTTCCAGGAGCATCAGATCCATGCTGCTGCTGACTCGGAGCCCCACAGCTTGGCACAGGCTCTCTCACCTCAAGCCCCCAGTCCTCCCTGGGACCGTGGGAGGCCAGGCCCTGCATCTGAGGTCCTGGTTTTTGTCAAGGCAGGGCCAGCCTCAGGGCCCTGGGCTTCGAACCAGGCTGTTGATCACAGCCCTGTTTGGAGCTGGACTTGGTGGGGCCTGGCTGGCCCTGAGGGCTGAGAAAGAGAGGCTGCAGCAGCAAAAGCGAATAGAAGCCCTGCGCCAGGCAGCTGTGGGCCAGGGCGACTTCCACCTGCTGGACCACAAAGGCCAGGGTCGCTGCAAGGCTGACTTCCGGGGCCAGTGGGTGCTGATGTACTTTGGCTTCACTCACTGCCCTGACATCTGCCCAGACGAGCTGGAGAAGCTGGTGCAGGTGGTGCGGAAGCTGGAAGCAGAGCCTGGTTTGCCTCCAGTGCAGCCCGTCTTCATTACTGTGGACCCCGAGCGGGACGATGTGGAAGCCATGGCCCGCTATGTCCAGGACTTCCACCCAAGACTGCTGGGTCTGACCGGCTCCACCGAACAGATTGCCCAGGCTACTCACAGTTACCGTGTGTACTACAGTGCCGGCCCCAAGGATGAGGACCAGGACTACATCGTGGACCACTCCATTACCATCTACCTGCTCAACCCTGACGGCCTCTTCACCGATTACTACGGCCGGAGCAAGTCAGCTGAGCAGATCTCAGACAGTGTGCGGCGGCACATGGCGACTTTCCGCAGCGTCCTGTCTTAAGCCGCTGCAGCCTGGGCCCCATCATTAAACAGGGTGCGTTTAATCTGTGCGTGTGTGATCTGTACCAGCAGCCCATGGAGGTCAGGCAGCCCTCTTCTCTGCGCAGGGCAGGTGTACGTAAAAGGGTTTTTGGGGGAAGATGAGATGGCAACACTGCTTTATTAGGCCGGGCCAGCCAGGAGCAGATGCACGGCTCCTCAGTACACATCCCCCACCCCTGCCTTGGTGCTCCCCACTCAGGGCTGGGCCATGGAGGGGGCAGTGTAGGTCTGGAAGCGCTTGTGGGCTCGCTGGTGTGTGAGCAGTCTCAGGGACATGGTGTCCACGGCCGTCTCCAGCCCAGGCTGCTGGGTGATCTCCACTGTGTAGTCATTGGCCTGCAGGGGTGGGGCATCAGCAGGGTCTGGGAACCGTCTCCCCCTCCCACGCATCCCAGGCTACTCACCAGCTGCAGGGAGGCCAGCATAGAACGACACACCTCGAAGGCCGGCTGGCCAGCCACCAGCTCCGCAAAGGGACACCACTCATTGAGCTGGGGGAACCGCGAGACCACCTGGTCCCCATAGGTGTGGATGTCAAAGGGTACATGCTGCTCCTGCACAGGGGAGGGGCGTGTTGGCTGTGGAGAGAGGCAAGGCCTGGGACAGGCCTGCAGCAGACAGCTCTGGTTCCCAGCGACCCCGCCTCACCTGCTCCTGGAGCAGAGGCTGCACCGTGTCCTCCCAGTCCCTGATGCGCTGGCTCAGCTCTGTCTCCTGGACAAACTTCTGGGAGGTGGCGATGAAGAGCTCCTAGGAGAGGATCAGCAGAAGGTACTGCCTCCCAAGCAGGGCCTGGGCGCCTCTCACCTATCCCCCTCCCCTCCCCGTCCCTCTCTAACCCAGGCCTACCACGTTCCTTCGAACCAGCTCCTCGTAGCTCAGGGACACCGGCACTGTGTCTGGGAAGGGGCAGCTGTGAGCTGGGCAGCTGAGGGGCCACACTCTCCCCTGCCCCCAGTTCCAGTGGCCCCTCAGCACTCCTAGCCCACTGCCCACCTACCAAGGTCAGCAGCTTCCCTGGGGTCTGCTCCCTCAGGCTCCACATACTCCTCAGGTTCTAGAAAGTCATCTGCTGGGAGATGGGAGAGTGGACAGCACAGAGGCAGCCAGTCAGCTGGCAGCAGGTGCCAAGCCCCGCCCCACCCCCACCGGCAGGCACCCACCTGCTGCCCCCAGGTCTTCCAGAGAATCCTCCAGGTGGTCCTCCTCTGCAGACCACAGCCCCTCCTCGGCCCTCGGCAGCCACTGCTCGGCCACCTGTCCAGAGACAGCATCTGTGAGGGGCACTGTCATCTCCCATCAGGGCCGCCACGGGGTCCTAGATCACAGCTGACCAGTTGGGACTTGCCTCCCTCCTCTGCAGCTTCCGGAGAGTTTCCAACTGCTCCTTCACGTGTGTCCAGTACAGGACCTCCATGTCTGCAGACAAAGACCTTGTGAAGACTCCCTTGTCCTTCCCAGGCCCTGTGCCAGTCCACCCGAGGCTCTGGTGACACCAGGTGGGGGCAGACGTAGGGGAAGGGGAGTAAAACTGTCTTCCCTGAGGACTTCAGCCTCACCTGCAAAGGACGGACCCTTTCGCCGAGGCCTCCGGCTGTCAGCATGGTCAGCATCTGAGAGAGAACATGGTCAGCACCAACCAGGCCAAGAGCTGCCCACGGCAGTGGGGAAAGGGTGTTGATCCTCCTCCACGGGCCCTGGCCCAGCCCCCAGCTCCCAGGGGTCCGGAGTGCATGGCACACCCACTCACAGGCAGCCAGGTACCACTGGTGGAAGTCCTGCAGCTTGGCAGCACTCTTCCTCTTGCGCTTCTGTCCCGGAGCCTCCTCCACACAGGGGGGCACAGAGTAAGGCCTACCTAGAGGCAAACAGGGACTGTCTTAGAGCTGCTGGGCAATCAGGGTGCAAAGCCCTCTCCCACCCCCCTACCTCATGCCCCAGGAGACCCAGCCAGGAGTACCTGAGTGGAGGTATCTTCCACCCAATTACCTTTCTTGAAGGGCTTAGACTCCAGGGAGTCAAAGGGGTCCAGGCTCTGCCAGGGCTCTGGAGTCTCCTGGGCACAGAGCACAAGAAGGCGCTGGAGGAGTAGGGGGTGCACAGCCGCCCTCCCAAAGGAGAAGTAGGGGGTGCACAGCCGCCCTCCCAAAGGAGAAGTAGGGGGTGCACAGCCGCCCTCCCAAAGGAGGAGTAGGGGGTGCACAGCCGCCCTCCCAAAGGAGGAGTAGGGGGTGCACAGCCGCCCTCCCAAAGGAGGAGTAGGGGGTGCACAGCCGCCCTCCCAAAGGAGGAGTAGGGGGTGCACAGCCGCCCTCCCAAAGGAGGAGTAGGGGGTGCACAGCCGCCCTCCCAAAGGAGGAGTAGGGGGTGCACAGCCGCCCTCCCAAAGCCCAGGCAACAAGTGCGGTGAGAGCCTGGGACAGAGCCGACCACACTCAAATCCTGGATCACAGAGGGGAACAATCGAGGGACGGTGGGGGCCCAGAGTCGCATGAGGGGGTCTCTAAGAGAGCAAGTGCAAAGGGCCACAGGCTGAGAACACCGCAGGAGCGAGAGCATGATGGGCAGGCAGCCAGTCCTCGAATCCGCCCGTCCTCCCTGCCAGGGTCAGGGCCCCAACGCTCCTACCTTCATGCAGGATGCAGGCTCTGGGGCCCCCTCTCGCTCCCGCAGCATGTACCTCCTGGGCAGGGCAGCACTCTGCAAAGACAGTCACAGGGTCTCCACTTCTCCCCTTTCTCCACTCAAGGCTCTGGGTACCCCAGGAACTCCACCTTGGGTCAACATCAAGAACTCTACAAGGGCCGGGCACGGTGGCTCATGCCTGTAATCGAAGCGCTTTGGGAGGCCAAGGTGGGCAGATCACCTGAGGTCAAGAGTTTGAGACCAGCCTGGTCAACACGGTGAAACCCCGCCTCTACTAAAAATACAAAAAAAATTAGCCGGGCGTGGTGGCACACACCTGTAATCCCACCTACTCAGGAGGCTGAGGCAGGAGAATCGCTTGAACCCAGGAGGCAGAGGTTGCAGCGAGCCAAGATCACGCCACTGCACTCCAGCCTGGGCAAAAGAACAAGACTCTGTCTAAAAAAAAAGAAAAATCCTACAGGGGCCAGACACAGTGGCTCACGCCCATAATCCCAGTGCTTTGGGAGGCCAAGGCAGGCAGATCGTTTGAGCAAGGAGTTCCAGACCAGCCTGGGCAACGTAGTGAGACCCCGTCTCTACAAAAAATACGAAAATTAGCCAGGTGTGGTGGCACGCATCTATAGTCCCAGCTACTCGGGAGGCTGAGGTGGAAGGATCACCTGAGCCTAGAGAGGGTCAAGGCTGTAGTGAGCCAAGATCAGGCCACTGCACTCTACCCTGGGCAACAGAGCAAGACCCTGTCTCAAAAACAAACAAACAAACAAAAAAACCCTGCTAGTACTCTCTGGGGGCATTAAAACAAAAACCCGAAGAAAAACTTTAAAACACAAACAGTGGGCCGGACGCCGTGGCTCATGCCTGTAATCCCAGCACTTTGGGAGGCCAAGGCGGGTGGATGTCGGGCATGGTGGCAGGCGACTGTAGACCCAGCTACTCGGGAGGCTGAGGCAGGAATGGCGTGAACCCAGGAGGCGGAGCTTGTAGTGAGCCAAGATCGCACCACAGAACTCCAGCCTGGGCGACAGAGCGAGACTCTGTCTCGCAAAAAACAAAACAAAACAAAACAAAAAAAAAACAGTGGTCACGGGGTACTCTTCTTCAAAACTAAGAAAAACGAATAGAATATGACAAATATCCATGTCATCGACCAACCAGAGTGAAGAAACATTAACATTTCCTCTGTATGCATCGGGTTGATTTTCTGCTTTAATAAATAAAAAGGATTTCTTGGCTCTAGACTGCGTACAGTTGACCCTGGGGGTTGAGGGAGGCAGCAATGGCCTCCAGACACCCCCTCCTACCAGCCCAACTGCAAAAGAGGCGCCTCGGCGACCAGCAGCCATCCCAGGTAGCTGTGAGCTCGGCAGGGCCCAAACCCTTGGACGCCAGCCCACTACTCTGAAGATCATCAGTTCTGTCCAGAGAGGGGAGGAACACGGAAGCTGCCGTTCCAAAGGGCTGGCTGCAGGACGGGCTGCAGGACGGTGGGCTTCTGCCCCAGACCAATGGCCCGGGGCCAAGGCCATAGCGCTGCCCTCCTCGTGCAGGCTGACTCAGCCCCAGAGCCAGGGTTGCCCCGTTCACAGCTCAGGCTCTGCAGGCCTCCATGTGGGTCCCACCTGCTGCGGGCTCCTGGGCTCCTCGGGCTCCAGAGTGGCCTTGGGGGCCGAGGCCTCAGGAAGGTCTACTGCCTCCTCTGCATCCTCGTCCTCACCCCCGCCCAGGGGCGCCGGGCCTTCTGGAGAGGGGCCTGGACAGGGAGCAAGAGAGTGATCAGCTCCAAGGAATGTCGAGACCAGACGGCACCAGAGGGACCCTGACGGCTACTTCCTCCCTCAGCTTTAGTCACGGAACCCAGAGGATTCAGCAGGTGCCTTGCACCCTCCTCGTCATGCTAGCGTGCTGTGCTCTGTTTGGTTCATTTTATTTCTTGGCAAATGTTCCTCTTCAAATGCAGCCATCCACATCTGCCCAGAGAGGACACCCAGGAAGGCAGAGGGCAGTCAGTGAACCAAGACGGGCTGAGGCTTAGGTAAGGCCAGGGGCTGTGGCTGCTTCCCCGGGGTGAGGCCTCATTCCCGTGGGCCATGGAAAGGGTGTGAGGCTGGCAGCTGACAGCAGCGCCTTGGACCCCTGTCCACTGAGAGCTGCCTCCCTGGTCCCCTTTGGCTGCCATGCCAGTCCCACCAGGGAGCTTTCTTCTCACCTGGGTCCTGGGAGAAGCCAAGTGCTGGGACAGGGCTCCTGCACACGGAAACTTCCATTGGCTGCTCCTCAGTTCTCCCGGCATCTGGGAGACAGGGATTGGACAAGGTCAGCCCAGCCCCTCTCCAAGATGGTCCCTGCCTGGTGT